GAAATGGTTTCAAAATTAAATATTATTGAACAAGAAATAAACGTGTAGTTTCATTAAGAGCAAGATCCAAAATTGCCAAAACATTTGTTAATCAATAACTAAGAAACGACTCGACCGATCATTGACGAAAACTAATTAGCACGATTCTCAAATAGTACCTTTGTAATGGTTTTTGGATTTTCAAAATCGATTCACGAATTTAGACTATAACGTGGACAAAAAAATTGACACTTTTGACAATCCTAAAGAAACGGCTCGACCGATCGTGAGGCAAAATTAACCAGCACGAGTGCTTATCGAATTTTATCAAATTTTCAAATAGGATTGCGCATTTTTAAGAAAACGTCGGCTAAAGATGAAACTTTGCCTGGCGTAAAAATGTGCTCATTTGATTCAAACTTTGATAATACATTGAAAACTAAAACGACTTGTCGTAGGGTCGAAATATTTAGTTATATTTGAGATCATGATCTTTATCGTCAAAAAAGTTTTTTAAATATCATCCTAAAAAAAATATTTAACGTTTAAATACGAAGAAACGAACCTACCAATCTCTTAAAACTAATAAGCACGATTCCCAATTTATATCTTTCAAACAGTTTCTGAATGTTTAAAAACGATGCACAATTTTTGGCGAAAAACGAAAATTTGTACACTTTTCTTTTGATTAAAAACGGCTTGGCCGATTGTTGCACAAGACTAACAAACTGCAGTCGATATCTAGTTACATCAAATGACTTTCAAATTTTTGAAATCAATTTAACCGTTTTTGAAAAAAATATTGGCAAAAAGTAAAAAATCGGGTCATATACACACTTTTTTTCAAATTTGATCTCAAACGATTCAAAATGAGTAGAAACATAGAGAAAACATAAAAAAGTCGATTTTTTGTAAGAACATATTTGATATTTTCCTGTTATGTTATTTTCAAGGGCAGCCAAAAAATGCTCGCACGCAGGCGGCTACATACCCAGGCACGGCTCTGAACGTAACTACAATTGTAAATAAATATTTACGTTTCAAAACCTTCCAAACATTTTGGCATACCTTAGGAAAAATGGATGTATGCATGCGTATTTGCGGTTACATTTTGTCGATGCTTTTGAGACAAATCAACCGATTGAATGATTCAATTGTCGGAAAGATGTGCTGATTAGTTTTTGGTAAAGACAGGTTTTTCCATTTCGAAAGAGGGGGCAATATGATAAAAAATGCTATTCAATTTTTTAGAGAGCCCCATTCTCTATCGGATTAAAAAAATCGAAACACATTTTAATTGTGCATCGAAATGAAGAATTGACTAAATTTTTGCGATGGTAGAGTGAGCGTTTTTGGTGATCCAAAAAAAATGCCATTTGGTGGTCAAAAATAATAAAAGGGCATTTGCGCATCAAATTATTAGAATTTTCTACAAAAATTTTAATAATCAGTACAAATTTTGTTTTCATTTTTAACTTCAGCGGGGTAAGCTATAGTAGTCGCAAAAAAATCGAAAATATTTTTTTTGCTTATCTTTAAGTTTCAGAGGTATCCAAACATTTGTGTCTTAGAAAAAAATGGATGTTGTGTGTACGTGCGTTTGGATGTAAGTAATATGTATGTATGTAATTAGAACGATTACTAATTTTCGTTCGGTTTTTCAATGAGGACGATTACGTATTTTCGTCGTTTTCGAGAGCACGGATCAACCGATTTGTATTATTCAAGAAGCATTCGACTCCTACTGGTAGGGCAACGTGTTGATTAGTTTTTGGCAAAAGCAGGTTCAGCCATTTCGAAGATACGGAACAAAAAGTGCAAAAAAATGGAAATTCAGTTTTTGAGAGAACGGAGCGTCCGATTTGAATGATTCAAAAATATTTTACTTATATTGACAAAATCAAGAATTAACCAATTTTTGGGGAGACAGGTTTAGCGGTTATGGAGATCCAGAATAAAGTTGTAAAAATAAAACTTGGCGGTGAAAAATGATCATTGGACATACGCATATCAAATAATCAGATACTTTATAAGAATAATAATAATAAGTACAGATGTTAACATTGCTTTGCAAAAAACTCTAACTTTTCAAACAAAGTGCTCCTTCGGGAAGTTAATAATAAGTCAGCCCTGGTAGATAATTTCTAATAATGAAGTAATCAAATGTGAAAAGATCAACAGTCGGGTTACCATCTACAAAAATACGACATAAGAAAAAGATTCTGGGCCTAAGGTTCTGGGCCTAAGCAGTTTTTGCTTAATATCTTCGAAACGGTTGGACCAGCCTTAGCGAAAAACTAATCAGAGTCAAAGGGAACATACATACATACATACACACATACACATTTTGAGGTACATCAAAATGTTCAGAAGGCCTTGAAATGTAAAGATGAGAAAACAATATCATTTTCGATTCATTTGCGATTAATATACCTTACCCTACGCAAAGTTAAAAATTGTATCTAAATAATTTAAAAAAAAGTTTTGTTTAAAAAAGTAAAATTTTGTCTATTAAAAATGGCGCCTGAACGGAGAGGGCCTAGGGCGGCAGAGAGCTTAATCCGCCACTGGTGATCTCTGGTTTTCCTATCTTCAACTTGATGGTCTCTATTGTTTTTCTACTTGTGAGAACAGCTTCACTTTTTTGTTGTGCTAATTGGAGGTTCATTGTTTCCATCTAGCGATTAATTTTTCTCAAGGTTATGTCAAATAGACTCACGATCTTATTAGTTCTTTAGAAACAACTACTATGGCTACATCATCTGCATATGCTACTTGTTTGATACATGGTGCAATCTCCAGTCTCAACAAGCCATCATACATAATATTCCACAGCAAAGGGCCTAGAACAGAGTCCTGCGGCACACCTCCTCTTATGTTATATTCTTCTGCACCATCGCGTGAATCGTACATTAGAATTCTCTCTGTGAAGTAGCTTGCGACTATATTGCAGAGGTATACTGACACGTTCTTGTCATGGAGTGCATTCATAATGCAATCCCAGTTTGCGAAATTGAATGCATTTTTGTCATCTAATGTAGCTACTAGACAGTATTTCTTTGCACCACCCTTCCATTTGATTCCAGCAATTGCTTTCTTGACAGTATTAACTACCAAGTTGTGGCGGACATAGCTCAGAGGTAGCATGTCCGACTCACATGCCGAAGATCGTTGGTTCGATCCCTGGCGCTTCCAATTGTAAAAAAAAAAAAAAAAAATATCAGAATGTATAGAATTTCAATTGTAAGATGTATGTTAAAAATGATTAGAATGTATAAGATATTAGAATGTATAAAAATTGAATTAGAATTGAAAATAAAAAAATGAAATAGTAGAAAGAAGTAAGAAGATAAAAATAAGGAAGAATGAAGTTAAGTTGAACTACGTAAAAGGAATAGGATTTATGTGAAGAAGATAAGTTGAAAGAAAGTATATAGTATAAGAAGAATAGAATATAGATTGAATATGATGTAAAATTAGTATAGAATGTAAATAAATGTTGTAGGTGGCTAAATGCTCAGAGTAAGCGAAGCCAAATAAAAAATAATAAAAATAAATAAAAAAAAAACTACCAAGTTTATAGCATCGACAGTTGATCGCCCTTTGTCTGCTAGCAGTGGGCTAACTACTGCATCTATTCTTTGGTGAATCATTCGTTCAAAAATTTTACCCGCTGTATCCAGCATGCATATCACACGGTAGGATGATGGTTCATCTGGTGGTTTTCTTCCTTTGGGAAGAAACACTAATCTTTGCTGTTTCCATTGTCGTGGAAAACCCTTTCTTTTAGACACGTATTATAGGCATTAAGGAATATTATGTCCAAATTGATATTTTTAAGGCGATATTAGGAATTCCATCTAATTTTGGGAAAACGAATCAACTGATTTGAATTATTCAAAAAACATTTGATTTCTATTAATAAGGAGACGTGTCGTTTTTGGATCAAGACGGGTCGGTCCAGCCGTTTCGAAGATACGGGGAAAAGGTGCCACAAATGGTAACTCAGCTTTTGAGACATCGGAGCGCCCGATATCAATTTTCCAAGAAACATTTTACTTGTATTGAGAAAGTGAAAAAATGTTTAATTTTTAGGAAGGCAGATCGAGCGGTTTCGATGATCGATTAAAAAAGTGAAAAAAATGCCATTTGGTGGTCAAAAATGATCATTAGACATATGCACATCAAATTATCAGATATTTTATAGAGATTTTAATGATTTTATTAATAAGTATAATTGTTTACATTTCTATGGGTTGCTGCGTACCAATGTTTATTCGTTAGACTGCGACGCAGCTCATACGCGAATTAGGAAAAAAATGTTTATAATTTTCAAGAAATTTCAAAATATATAAATAAAATTTAAAAAAAATTCAAAATTCTCAAAAATCTAATTTTCACGAAGTTTTCAAAAAATTTAAAGATTTGTTCAAAATTTTAATTTTGGTACGGGAATTTTCAGCAATTTGCCTTCAGGCACAATGTATCATATACGATAATATCACGAAATATCATAGTTTTAAAACATCTATAACGTTTCGTTTCTGTGATCATGCGTCTGTCTATTCAATTGAGAGCGCATAACATATACGGTGTAAAATATTTATAAATACATATATATAAATTAGCAAGTAAACCACATCTCAGAATATTTGTCAGAGTGAGACGACGAGTATGTCTAGAAGGTGTGATGTAATACCCGGTGCGGACCCGGGCCGGCCAAAACATGTTGTCTAGATCTTATTGTTAGCTATTAGAACAAGTCCTATGACGCGGGTTTTGAGCGGTTTTGTAGTTTAGTATAGCTACTAAGTACTAGCTAGATTTACGTATGTTCAGTCGTAAACTTTTGTTTTATCTTATCGAATACATTGTCTGTCCGACGTAATAAAACATACTCGAACCTCTCGAAACGTTTGCTCATGAATATGTACCCGCTGTATCACTTACGTTCAAATACAGAAAGAATTGCTAATCGTCAGAGTTGCTATTTCGAGACTTGTTTACCAAACTCTGTTAGCGGATGTGTATCTACGCTCCCGTAACGTAGAACGAAAATCTCATTAGAACGCCAAAATAAAGAGTATAAAAAATGCAATGTATTTAACGTGCTAGTTCAAGATATTTAGTTTATATAAAACGTGAATTCATTGAAGCAGAAGTATTGTGAAATTAAATAAATAAACATGCTTCACTCGGATAACGTTTCTAATAGTGTTGGAGTGCAGGTATTGAGATTTGGTTGCTGTGACATAGAAAGCATTCATTCATCGCTACTCTTCATTTCGTAGCATTCTGATTTATTCATTATTTTATTTTTTTTTTATTTGAATTCCCCGTTTTCCATATAAAAGTATGAAACTAAACATTATTGAATTAAAGCATTGTAGTATCATAATGTAATAATTTTATTTTAACATAATACTAATTAAGCAATTATCAATATTTTTTTATAAGATTTAATACGTAACATATGACTTTTTTTTGATCATTTTTAGATTACATTATTTTATATCATATGATTATTATTTATCTTGGTTGTACTGTTGGTCCGATTGTCAGCTTATCTATTGATTACATTCGACATTCCAGAATTCAACATTATTATTTATATGAAATTATGTGAAATAAAATAAATAAAATAATTTTATTTTAAAATAATACTAATTAAGCAATTATCAATATCTTTTTTATAAGATTTAATACGTAACATATGACTTTTTGATCATTTTTTTAGATTACATTATTTTATATCATATGATTATTATTTATCTTGGTTGTGCTGTTGGTCCGCCATATGATTACATTCGACATTCGTTGAATTATGTGAAATAAAATAATCGCATTTTCATATTCAAACTTTGCGATATAAATACATTTTTAATTCTATAATATTCATACTTACTATATACATACTATACTATACATATTTGAGTCAAATAAATATGAAACATTTGTAGTTTTCAAAATAATTTAAGTAATAAAATGAAATTGTTTGTTTGTTTGTTGTATTGTTTATACTACAGAATTTATTAACTATGAGCAATCATATGATGCAGATTTTTTTTTTAAATAATAATAGAGAAAAGTCGTAATTTTAATGTTCATACGTTTTAGTTCCCGCCATTTATAGTATCTATATATGGCTTCATTCTTTCTTGGATCCTAGTTTTGCTAATACTACAAAAAAACTAGTGGTGTTATGGCATCGTGCCTTGAGGCGAACTGCTGGAACTTCCCGTACCGAATTAAAATTTTGAAAATCTGAATTATTTTTAATATGAAAAAAAATCGAATTTAAAAAAAAAAAAAAATAAAAAATCCCAAAACCTATTGTTTCCTCAACACAAGCAGAAAGTTTTTTGAATTATTCAAATCGAATGCCTAATTCTCTCAAAAAGCCACTTGGCGATCAAAAACGATCATTAGACATTTGCACATCAAATTATCAGATATTTTATAGACATTTTAATAATAATAACTAATTTTGTTAACATTTCTATTGGCTCCGTACCAATGTTTATCTTCTCCGCTAACACACCATAAAAAATTAAAATTTTCTAAAAAAATTTAAAACTTTCAAAAGTCCAATTTTTTCAAAGCTTAACAAACATTTGGATATTTTTTTTCAATTTTAATTTTCAATACGGAAAGTTTCAGCAATTTGTCGTAAGTCACGATGCCATGCGCCACTAGTTTATAAGTGTAATAATATGTATTATTATTAGTATAAATATTTAGCATTTTCCGATTTCTTTCTTAGGATTAGTAAACTTGGATATTACGTTTCTTAATAGCCGTAAAACTGCGCATTTAGAAAAGACCGATGTATATGACCTTGACTTGCCAGGGTTTGCGTTATTCATTTTCCTAGGTTTTTATAATTGTTGAAAATTTTGGAACGGTTTTTCCGTTTTTAGGAAATTAACATTATTGGAATAAATTTTATTAAACATAAAAATTGATCAATTGATAATAATTATTTTGAATATTTTCAAATAGATTATTATAACTAATGTAACTTTTATTATTTGTGCTTTATAGATTAAATATAAAGGGATAAATATAAAATACTATTTGTATTTTATAGACAAACAAAAATCGTCTAATTAGGCTTCAAGCGACTTTATCTCATTTCTTACTATAATACTAAAAATAAATTATAATTTCAGAACTGTCCAACCATATTAAATTATTTTCGATATTTTTAAAGTTTTCTAAGTATTTAATTTTTTTTTTATTAAAAAAAATGTATAATTTATAAAAAAATATTTTTTTTCTAAAATTTTAAAACTTCTATTAATTTCTTTTTTGAAAATTTTGAAATTTTTTTAAAAAAATGAACTATTTCGAAAATTTGAACGAAAAATCAAACCTATTGTGTTACTTATTATAATATAAAACTTATAAATATTGTTGCGACCCAATGGTTTAACTATAACTAATATATTACTAACTATAATATACGCTATGCATATATCCGATTCTCAGTTTCTCAACATTGTATTCATCTCAAGAACTATCGTTACATTGTATTAACTCATATCGAGTAACAAAAGTATTATAATCAAAAATAGGACCGATGAACTTTTTCCTAATGCGTACGTGAGCTTCTGCATACGACGCAATAATTCCTATGAATTCTGATCGGGGAATCACATAATTTGCACTTACACATATAAATGAAATTTAGTTTATCATATCCTAAAAGGAGTAAAGTCCCTCTTCTAAATAAAAGCTTATTTAAAGCCGAAATGTAACTTAATGTAGGCGGTTGTGTAATTTTCGTATAGATGACGACATCTCAGAGTATTAATGAACGGGAAAATAAAAGTATACATGAAGAATATTGTGTTTAATTTGAACTTATTATGATATTACAATAACATCTAGCGAAATTGGTTGATGAAGAGAAAAGCTAATCGGCGCCCAACAATATTTAAAAAAAAAACTAGTCGAAAATGGCATTTAGCCTTAAGGCAAGTTGCATGAACTTCCTGAAATGTGTAATAATTGATTTAATTAACCGAAATTAATATTTAGAAATTTAGATAAAATTTTCAACTGTTTATTTCGTAAGTTTTAAAGTTTTCGCTTTTACTTAAATCTAAACATTGTGATTTTCAATTGATAATTCTCAAACACATTTAAATTATCTGTAATTATATTAATTACTAGCTGATCCGGCAAACATTGTTTTGCTAATTGTAAGTAAGGTCATAATTTCTAGAGAATCAAAAAAATTAATACTTTTAGTGTGTGAGGTAATATAAAAACAATCAAACTGGAAGTTTTATACATTTTCTATAGAAAACATGGTATGATCCAATCCAAGTCTTTTTTGGTCCTTCGACTTATTGATTGCGTTTCAAGTTTTTCAGATTCTTTTTGGATTCTGCATTTTGTGTATAATTGTAAATAATACTACTGAGCTTATACAAAATTTTCAAATTTCTGCGAGGAGAGATAGAAAATGAATTAAGTACTTTTTCTTTATTATTTCTAACATTCGATGGATTAAAGTAAATTTAATAAAAAGTATATATGTAGATCAGGGCGAGGCACGAAGGTCCAATTTGTTTTTGAGAAAATATTAATTATATTATAAAAAATCGAACCAATTATATGACAACAAATAACACATTTCAAACGAACAATTATCTGAATACGTTCAGTAAAATCGCCAGCTACTTCATCATTGCAAAAATGTGCTTTTTATTTGCCGTCTTTCTAAAATTTGTTATATAGATTTTTTTACCCTATAGGCGGGGTAACTTGGAAGTGGCAAACAGGTTTAATGTCTTATTTTAATTTTAAAGGCATTTTACAAAATAATTTCATTTTTAACTAATGCTAAAAAACTATCAATGGAAGAAAATATTTTTATTATCCATTTTCAAAGATTACCGTTTATCTCCCGATAGCAAAGTCATAAGAATCAAAGTTATAGCTATATCTTTTTCCCTCTAGTTTCAAATATTATTGTTAAACAATGCTTAACTTTACTGGTTTTTAACGCATCGGTGGTGGACCTTTTTAACCCCGGACTTTCATATATTACTATCTATTCTTCGATAAATTCTAGGAATTATAACTGGGAAAATGTCATTCGACAAAATGTCCCTTTGATCGATACCAAATTTAGGTTCTGAATTTAAATAACATAAATAAAAAATAATATAATTCAGAAAATGTTTTATAAATACCAATGAGTATATAATTATACAAATGAAATCTTTCAGAGCACCGTTTTGAGAAAAATATGATTTGCAAAAAGAATGCTACAACGCCAAAAAGTGCATTTTCATATCAACATTTCAAAAAAGTTGATATTTTGAGTTTATAGTAACACTTGCGGCCCGTTTACTAACGTTTTTATATATAAATAAAATTACAAACAAAACTACTTACTACAATTTAATCATACTTAAATAATATTCACGTATCTGTCAAAAACGTTTTACATTTGACGTATTGGCCACCGTCCATTGTTTTATTTAAATTACGCTTCTACAAAATTTTTCGAATTAAAAATTTAAATTTTCCATGCGGTTTTGAAATAATTTCTCACCTTTTGGACAATTTCTGGATTGGCTCGAATTTTTGAAGACTAAGACTGGCCAAATCGGTTTAACCGTTTTCGAGTTTTAGCGGATCATTTTATCGAGCTTCATTTTTATATATAAGAAGAAGATAATGCACAGGCACGTTCTTGTACGTCCTAAAATTCTAGCCTATTATTGAAAATTTTAATTAATTTATATAATTCAACTAATTTTTGAAAGACTGTTTAGTCTAGTGCATAAACTTTATCGCTATGTTAAATGTCATTAAAGACATCTAAACATTTTTTTTTTAAAAGCTTAATAAATTATTTTGTGAAATATTGAGAATCTGCTAAAAGAAAATACTGGTACAATTACATATAGTATGTGCGTAGTCCTTGATATTATTTAAATTAATGGTAACAACTAACTGGAGTAGTTTTGTAGACTGCTCACTGACTTTTTTGCTAATTTCAAAGCCATTTCTAATGGCTTGGCCGATATTTTCGCAAACCTAATCGCTATTTTTTTGACAAATTTTTATTTTTGCATATTTGTATGCATCCGTAAGTGAAGGAGTATATTACTGAACATTTTTTCCATCATCAACAGGTGCAAAATATTTTTTGAATCAATTTATTCGGATGATCCGATTTCTCATATAATATCATATTGTGCGAATT